ATCTGTCCCCTCCGGCTCCCTCACCGGTCTGCACATCCCCTCGTTTGCCAGGAATCTAGTGGGTGTCGGTCACCTTCAGGACCGAGGCGTCACCACTACGTTCCCTAGCTGCGAGAGACACGCCGCTTGCACAGACACAACCACCGGTCGGCACTAAGCCACGTTTGAGTGTGACCCAGGGTCTGGTCTCTTTACACTGCACACGGAGTCCCAGCTGACTGCTGCGTCTGCCGCGTTTGCCGCGTCCTGCTCCTATCGCTCGTCCAGTCCTCTCACGCCTGGTTGCGTCGCTTGCTCCTGCCGAGTTTGTCTTTGCGCTTGTCGCTACTGTCACTGACTTTGCTGCTAGCCACCGCCTTGACTACGCTGCTGCTCTGGACTGTGGTACTACCCGTCGTCCGTCTGTCGGGGGTGCACCTGCCCATGGCTATGACGTGCTAGAGGACAGGCAGTACGAGTTGGGCTCTTACGCTGAGGCGGTGTCGGGGCCCTGGGCAGCCCAATGGATACAGGCCATGGAGGCTGAGATGGCATCCTACAGATCCACAGGTACTTACGCTGACCCGGTTCCCCCTCCTGGGGCGAACGTAGTCGATGTCATGCAGATCTACAGGGTGAAGCACGCACCTGGAGAGCCGTCGAAGTTCAAGGCGCGTGAGGTTGTGGACTTCTTCCATACCATCTCCCCAACCCCGAAGATGACTACACTTCGGGTCCTTCTTCGCATAGTCGCGCAGCGTGACTACGAGCTTCACTCACTTGACCTCTCGAAAACGTTCCTGCAGGGTAGTCTGCCCGAGCAGATCTACCTCCGATGCCCTCTATGCTTCTTTGGCTCCTTCCCACCTGGGACCGAGTGGAGCCTGCACCGTCCTGTCTACAGCCTTCGTCAGGCACCCCGTGAGTGGCACGACATGCTTCGCACCACTCTTGCCGAGCTGCAATTCTATCCATCCTCTGCTGGCCCGTCTCTCTTTCTTCGCACGGGTCAGAGACCATTCTGCATTCTAGTGTACGTAGACGATCTTATCTTTGCTACTCCTGACAGAGTCGCACTGGCCTCTGTGAAGGCCGAGTTACTTAGGAGGCACACCTGTACAGACTTCGGGGAGTTGAGGCGCTATATGGGCTTGGAGATCTCTTGTGACCATGTCGCTCGCATGATCACACTCTCTCAGTTGCATATGGTGCAGCAGATCCTCCAGAGGTTCAGTCTCCAGTTCTCCTCAGCATAGCCCACCCCTCTGCCTGTGGATCACAAGCTCTCTGCTCCAGTTCCGGCTGAGCCAGTCGATGCTAGTGGTCCATACGCAGAGTTGGTGGGGTGCCCCATGTACCTGATGACTTGCACTTGACCAGATCTAGCATACTCTCTCAGTCTCCTTACTCGCTTTGTCGCGACAGGCAGGCACCAACCAGTTCACTGGTCGGCTGTCAAGAGGGTACTGCGGTATCTGGCGAGTATATCAGAACTGAGGCTTGTGCTAGTAGGACGAGAGCCAGTGGTGCTCACTGGACACACAGACGTGTCGTGGGCTGAGGACGCAAAGACCCTCAGGCTGTCTCAGGGCTACTGCTTTAGTCTTGGTGCTGGTGCAGTCTCATGGAGGTCCAACAGGTCGTCGTCTATAGCCCAGTCCTGTTGTGAGGCAGAGATATACGCTGAGGCCATGGCCACTCAGGAGCTCCGCTGGTTGACGTTCTTACTCACAGACTTAGGTTAGCAGCCTAGGTCTGCCCCGGTCCTGTTTGCTGACAACAGGGCCATGATCCTCCTATGTCATAAGCTTGACTTGAGGGCAGGGCAAAGCACATCCAGCTGTAGTTGTACTTCCTGCTGCATGATTTGCAGCAGAGCGGCCCGACTGGAGTGGTACAGTTGGCCTTAGAGGCCAACACCGCTGATATCTTCACCAAGGCACTTGCGCCTCGTGACCATCAGCGGTTTTGTACTCAGCTTGCTCTAGTCTCTATAGCAGCACCACTCCTTGTATCCTGAGTCATACTATACCAACTTGTACTTATTGTTGTATACCTACATGCCTTGCTACACTTGCTGAATGGCTTTGTGGCCTCTTGTCTCAGTGGTCAGTAGTGCTGCCCTGAGTTGCCTTGTTGCCTTCACCAGAGGTCAGACTAGTCGCCATATGAACAGCCCCAAATCGTCACCGTTTGATAATAGAAATGATAGCCGAGGAGTTGGCCGAGGAGCTGGGATTGAAAATGGCCGAGAGATTTGCGAGAAATAGACTAAGGTGGAGAGCAGGCCCCCAAATTGGTTTTGGGCTTGTCTGATTCATCAGACTTGCCTGCCATCTCTTGGTATGGCCTTCAGAGTCGCCCCTTAAAAAAAGTCTAAAAAATCAGAGTAACAATAATTTATTTGTCTGATTAATCAGAGTTACCATTGTTTTTAACTCTGATTTCAAAGTTACTGTTTTGCCCGTTACTTTTCCATTCCCTTCCCAACCGCTGCCCCTCAGACTTCTCCCTTGAGGGGCTTTCTCTCGCGTGCGCTACCTATCTGTGTTCTGGAGGCGGCACGGAATTTCGCGGCGCCCTAGGCCCGGCCCCGCGCTGGTGCGGGTGTGGTTGATCAGCGAGGCTCGTGGCGAGGCTGTGCTGTACTGTACAGCGCTCTTGCCAGGCCCGACATAAGTTTTTTTTTACTTTTCTAGTCTCCCAGACAGACTGACATACGAATTTTAAAAATTTAGATGAGTCTTTCACGAGTTTCTATCCCTCCCCCTCCCCGTTCCTTGTCTAGTAATTTTGCGTGCCTGAGGCACGCGACGATGTCGGTTGGTGGAGATACGGATCGTGGCGAATTGCGAATGGGGGACGAAATCGAGGGATGGGGCGGAAAGGAATTGGGGGGCGGGCAAAACAAAATTGCAGGGGAGGTAGAGAAATTGGGGCCATCCAGGTGGCTATTTCGTGAAGGGCCAATGGGCGCCCTCGCACACACAGCCCGCGGCACACCTCTGCAAATTTTTCGAAGGGCCAATCGGCCCCTCACACCGCACGCATCACAAACTGGGAGGTGATTTTGGTGAAGGACCAGTCAGCTCCCTCACACAGCCCCCAGTACGCATTGGCCGTTGATTTGGGTGAAGGGCCAATAACTGCCCTCACAATACCCCCAACACGGATCTCGCCCTGATTTTGGCTAAGGGCCAATCAGCGCCCCCCCACAGGTAAATCACGCTCCCCCCCTAAACCTGGCATTACACAAATCAGAGTCGACCCCCCATACAGAGTTGAGGCATCAGAGTACACTAGTAAAAAAAGTCTGAAAAATCAGCGTAGGTACATAAATCTTCTCTGAAAAATCAGAGTAAGGTACAAAAAAAAGTCTTCCCAATCAAAGTACACCCCCAAAAAAAAATCTGAAAAAAGTCTGAATCAGAGTAAAAATTCTGCAATTTGGGGGCCTGGTGGAGAGGGAGCGAAGAGAGACTAAGGGGAGGGAGCATCGAGAGATCAAGGCAGGAAACAGAGAGAGAGAGAGAGAGAGAGAGAGAGAGAGAGAGAGAGAGAGAGAGAGAGAGAGAGAGAGAGAGAAAGAGAGAGAGAGAGAGAGAGAGAGAGAGAGAGAGAGAGAGAGAGAGAGAGAGAGAGAGAGAGAGAGAGAGAGAGAGAGAGAGTAGGGGAGGGAGCAGCAAAAGAGAAGTGTTGCCAACAGCCACCACTGCGAATCAAGTTCCCAGGACCAGAATTTCTGGGTCCAGGTTGTGGGGTGTGGATGGGAGGGGCTGCCTGCGTGGCAAATTCGAAACTAGTCGAAAACCAGAATTTCCGGGAAGGGTTGTGGGCTATGGATGGGGCGGGCTGCCTGCGTGGCAGATTCGAGGGTTTGGAGAGTTTCTTGTTTTTGGTGTTTTCAAGCGCACCCTGACTGGTGAGGGTAAAATGCCGAGCACCTTGACTACATTAGGGTAATTAATTCCCTACACTTTTTAAAAAAGGGTCAGAAAAATTTTGCCCTTACAAAATCAGGGTATTCTTGAAAAAGAAGCCAGTGGCAAGGGTAATTAGGATGAAATGCCCTTCAAATCCAGGCCCTAGCTAGAAACCAGGTTCTTTCTCATACAGAAATATCTGTACACATTTCTCATCAGGTGAATTCTTGCTCATTAGATGCCGCCGAACACATTGCCAGTAACGAAGGGCAAAGTACATCACACGTCTGGCGTGTGCTTCAGGCTCTTGTGTGGAAGGTGATGCCACGTGGCGTGCTCTCCGAGATCCTGCAACTGTCTTTTATCGAAGTGACTCCTTGAAGCCCCTTCATTGTCAAGTTTGCGCCTCGTTGCCGCTCTTATCTGGGGGTTTTCCCGTCCACCTTCGCACCGCCGTCGATTTCCTCGCCATCTTGGCGAACCGTATTTCGACGATGAGTCTAAGCGGCTCGATGCGCCCTTGGTTTGCTCGCACTGCGCTGCCCTCGTTCTCTATTTGAGCACATTTTGAAAGCAAGGGTCCCATTCCGTACATCGCGCAGATTCGCGAAATGGCTGTAACGCGTCACGTCATTTGTCACCCCCTGTCACTCACGCCCCTCCCGATGCGTTTCTGTTGGCGCGCCTCGTCCAGCTAATCGGAAATTGCGCCCCTCTCGATGCGACAAGCCCAGCAGCCCCGTGTGGTGTGACCCCAATGCTCCAAACGAGATTCCTCACCTTCCTGTCACATGTCCCGTCCCGTCCCATGTCACCTCCCTTAGTACAGTTCAGGCACCAGCCCTTGGTTGGCTTCATTGGTTGGCTGGCACACCACACTGCCAGTTTCGGGCTGACTTGGTTGGTCGGCGGCACTCCTCCACATCACACAGCACAACTTCCCCCAACATACCACCTCTCTCCCTGCTCCCATGCCCTACCCCGCCCCGCGCTTCGGTGCGGCTCCCGCCCTTGAAACGGACTCGAGCCGTGTCGTGTCCTTCCTGTGCTGCCAGAAGTTAGGTTGCGCTCCATCCGTCTTTTGCGTCGCAAGGCAACCAGTATTTCTGCATCCGCCTTCCAGCCCCAGTATCCTCATCGTTTCTTGCTACGAGCCCATCCTCGGAGGCCTACTTAGGTAGGGTTTCTCCCACCACCACGGTGTAATCGCAGCATTGGAAGTCTTCTAGCGTTTTCTTGCATCCAGAGCTCTCAATCACCGCAACACTCGTCCCTCGTCGTCCCTCGCAGCTCTCGACCCTCAGAGCACTCGGCCCATCCTTGCTTTCGCTTTCTTCCCAGCGTAGCTTTTCTTGCCTCGCCGCCATGTCCTGCTCGAGCTGCAGGCTCAAATGGCTCGCAGCGGGCCTGGGCCTCGCTATAGCTCTACTCGCCGCTTGTCACGCCGTCGACAATTACTTCGTTATAAGGCACCCCTCTGTCTGCTCAGCCGCTCTTAACCTAGCGGCATGCGCGGAGGAGATTCGAGTAGTCAGGCGGTCGCTTGGGGTATTCCCAAGGCCGCTTACCGCAACGACCGGAGCCATGGTCGCCTCTCTATCCGCGCGAGCGCAGGCGATCCAAACCTTCGCACAGGAGATCCGGCGGCTGAACGTCGCCAACAATCGCATGACGAACGTCGTCGCAGGCGACTGCGTGCGACAGACCGACTCGGCGCTGTACCACCTGAACAAGGCGTCGGCGGCGGTGGCGGCCAGCAGCAACGCGGTCGACCTGCCGTACTGGCTGGCGGCGGCGAGACGGCAGATGAGTAACTGCCTCGACGGCTTCCAGGAATTCGCGCCCTCGGCTCTCAACACGCCCTCCGGCGTCATGCTCAACGTGAGTCGCAACGACAGACATATGGCTAACAGGAAATGGAAATAGTATTAAAGATAAATATGACATTTCCTTTTGCAAGTAACGACGTGACTCTGCAGACACTGGTACACCAACTAAATGCAGATTTCCCTGCCTCCTTAACTCCCGTTTCCACCTATCCCCTTCCCTCCCGCTCTTCCCACCGCGCCTCCGCCAGTCCCTCATCCATCGCACGGCATCCACCTACGACGCCGCCGTCGCGCTGGCGACAAACGGCGCGCAGGCGGCGATGACGCACGTCGCACGTGGCCGCCAGACGCTCGAGCACGTGGACGACACGCCCGAGTCGGACGGACGGCCCACGTGGATCGAGGCAGGGCTGTACGAGCAGATTAAGGAGCTCCAAGCGCATCTGGCGGGGGATGCGGCGGGCGCGCAAACGTGGGCGGAACGTGGACGGCGCGCCTTGGAACGGAGCGAGACGGAAAAGCTGACGGAAAATCCCCGCCGTCAGCTGCAGAGCTCGACCTCCAAGGCGGCTTCCAAGTTAAAGCCTGACGCGGTGGTGGGCAGCGGGGGGAAGTACAAGAAGATCAAAGACGCGTTAAAGGCTGCCCCCTCTAAAGGCCGGTTCGTTATACTGATCAAGGCGGGAACATACAAGGAGAAACTGAGTATCGACAAGGAGGGCGTCATTCTGATAGGCGAGGGCAGCGATAAGACCATCATCACCGGCAAGGACAGCGTCGCTGGCGGCTCGTCCACATACGGCTCTGCTACAGTCAGTAAGTATGACTGTTATTGAGGCGCCTCAGAATTAGGATATGATCGGCGAGGGAAGGTGTAAGACCGCCACCAAAGACAGCGTCGCTGGGGCTCGTTCACATACGGCTCTGCTACTCTCAGTAAGTGACTCAATACCTCTCATGGCTCCGCTACCGTCAGTAAGTAACGGCCGAAGCAGCCAGTGAGTGACGCCTTTCAATAGCTCGAAACCGCCACCTCACGGCCCCGCGACGGCCAGTAAGTGACGCCGATCTCGCCGCTACGCGCTTCCAGTATCTCGTTTCCTCATACGCCTCTCCTGCCCTCCAGCTCTGCTGTTGCGACGGCCGCAGGTAACTGAGCCCTCCGAGCTCGGCGACCAGAGCCCACTCAGTGTCTTGTCTCCCTCGTGCTGCCCCTCCTTTCTCCCCCCGATCTCTCCCCCTGCAGCCGCCAATAAAGATGGCTTCATGGCCGTTGGAATCCGCATCGAGAACGCCGCCGGCCCCCAAGGGGATCAGGCCGTGGCGCTCATGGTGAGCGGCGACCGGTCGGCCATCTACGACTGCGCGATCACGGGGTACCAGGACACGCTCTGCACCGACGCCGGGCGGCAGTACTACAAGAACTGTTACATCTCGGGCTACACGGATTTCATCTTCGGCGATGCTGCTGCTCTCATTGACTCGGCGACGATTTATTTGCGGGCGGGGAAGAAAAAGGTGCAGATCACGGCGTCGGGGCGCGAGAGCAAGACGCCCACGGGGATTGTGATTCGCTGGAGCCAGGTCCAATCGGAGAGCGGCGTGCGGCTGGCGTATCTGGGCCGTCCGTGGAAGGACTGCGCGCGCGTGGTGTACGTCGAAACGAACCTCCCCAAGGAGATTCAGCCGGACGGGTGGAGCACGTGGAATGGCGGGAAGCCCGGCAGCTGCCACTACTACGCGGAGAAGGGGAGCACCGGGCCGGGCGCGGCGAGCAAGCGGGTGTCGTGGGCCAAGCCGGGGATTATCTCGGACGCGAAGCAGTTTGGCCCGCAGGCGTTCCTGGAGCTGAGCAAGTGGCTGAACGTCGTAGATGGTATTTTGAAGTAGGTCTATGGGGGCGAAGGTATACCCTCCTGTACAGGGCCCGCCCTCTCCAACCAGCCAACAGATAATGTTTGGCATCACGGTTTGCCTTGCTGGCGTCTCACATCTGCCCTCCCTCCCTACCATTCCAAGCTCGTATCAAGCCATTTCTCGTGGCAAGGCCTTGCCAATCTTCGCTGCAGTCAGATTCAGGGTACACGGCGTTGTGCTTAGCTGTTAGTCAGATACAGGCATCTAACTTGTATGATGATATTTGCATGATGGAAATAAATATATTTCTGATAAGTAGCCATATTACTGTTACTGTGCCCTAAACCCAAAATGTGACAGCATTGAAGATTGGTCCTGAACAGGCCTCTCGTTAAGCCCCAGGGTATTCCGGAAGGGGATGGAATCGCCTCAGAATTACCTGTTAAAGCGAGGTCAAAATAGTGAAGTCGGGTCCAACTTGAAAAAGGCCCAGACGTCCGTTTTTGCGACTAAGGGACAAAACTGCGATGGGGTAGAGGGTACACAGTTGAGAAATGCAAGCAGGGGAAACTGGGCGAGAAGATGCAGTTACCTGATTGGTTGGCGGGGAAAACATGTCGTACGGCGGGGAAAATGGCTCGGGCAAAATCGCAAGCAGCGCGCCACCTGTCGCCCAGCCCCCACTATCAAAGAAGCTTAGGATAGGAACTAAACTTAGGACCCTAGCTTAGCTAGGAAGGAAGGAAGGGCGCCATGGAATGGCGTGAGGAAGGTAGATTTAGGAGCGTGAGGAGAAGAGTTGACGAGAAAGAAGAGTTGGGATTAGGAAGAGAGAGCAGTACAAGGAGGGGATTGTACCCTCTACAGAAAGGTTCAGTAACAACCTACCAAGCCTATATTAAATTATAACTTATATAATTTTAACACACCCCCTAGGCTTGGTAGTGTCAAGCCCACGCACACCCCCACACCCACACCCACACCCACACCCCCTAGCCCAGCACCCCTATTCCCAGCAGGAGCCGCAACGACCCCGGAAGAGGGCAGCTCCCACGGCCCGTGAGATGGCAATGGCGGCAGCGGCGACAGTGACGACAGCGGCGGCGGCAGCGGCGTGCGGCGGCACCAGGCCCGCGGCAACAGCGGCGTCGGCGGCGTGCGGCGACACCAGGCCCGCGGCAACAGCGGCTGCGGCGGCGGCTTGAACGTCAGAGGCCGGTGCAGCGGCCTCCGCCCTCTCGGCGGCATGTCCAGTCTCCTCGGCGGTGGAGAGGGCCCTCATGAGGCAGTCATCGGCTGCAGCAAGAAAGGGGGGGATGCAGGGGAAGCAGGTGCAGGTGGGGGGGGGAGGGGAGGGGGCGGGGCGAGGCGAGTCTTCAGCGACGCGCCATAAGTGGCGCGGCGCTTACTGGCAGGAGGGCGGGCAGGTGGTGGTTACGACGGCGTGCTGCCCGCTGCCGCCCATCGACGCTGCCGCGGCAGCATGACGATGCCGCCAGAGCGCGGCGTCGACGCTGTGGTGGCACGCCGACGCTGCAACGGCAGCAAGGTGACGCTGCCACAGCAAAGCGTCGACGCCACCACGGTAGGGCGTCGAGGAGGCGACGGCCGCACGACGAAGCCGCCATGACAGGCCGGCATGGCCGCCACGACGGGAAGGCAGTGACGAGAGAAATGCGTGGCGGAAGCGACGGCACGACAGCGCGACGCCACAGCAGCGCGTCGAGACGGCCGCGGCACGACGCGGCCAGCGGCACGACACGAGCGCCATGGCAGCGCGAGAAGCGTGAGTAGGCGGTCCAGCAGGAAGGATCTCCTGCTCTGATACCATATCAAAGAAGCTTAGGATAGGAACTAAACTTAGGACCCTAGCTTAGCTAGGAAGGAAGGAAGGGCGCCATGGAATGGCGTGCGGAAGGTAGATCTAGGAGCGTGAGGAGAAGAGTTGACGAGAAAGAAGAGTTGGGATTAGGAAGAGAGAGCAGTACAAGGAGGGGATTGTACCCTCTACAGAAAGGTTCAGTAACAACCTACCAAGCCTATATTAAATTATAACTTATATAATTTTAACACCCACTGCCTGTAAGCTGCACCAAGTAGGCCCAACTTGAATTTCAAGTTGGACCGGGTTCACTACACCAGCAAAACTGAGGCTCGGCCCCGATTGGTCGAAATGCTAACCACGCAAATCTATGGTCGTAAAATTTGTCGCCAGTGCGAAATGTCGCAAGTGCAATTCGATTTCGTGGCCTACGGCTTGGTAAAAAATGGGGGCTGCTGCCTGCCCCTCCAAAAACATATTCACTGTTGGGTCGTTTCTAGTTGGGCCCAACTAGAAAGGGGGGTCACTATTATAGTCTCTCGCTTTAAAGTCGTTGCCCAAAATTGCAGAAATTGCCTTTCAAGTTTATTAATCTTGAAACCCCCCGATTGGTAACCCAGTTCCCAAGAGCGAGAGCAAAAACGAAAGTTGCGCAACAAAACGACGGGAAACAGTCTATAATCTTGCGCCACCCCCAGCTGATTATGTCCCTGCCCCTGCCACACCAGGCGTTTGAGCAGTAAGAAACTTGAACTTCCCCCCATACATTTTGGGACTTTTCGGAGCGCATACCCAGCCCAGCACCACTACGCCCTAGTCAGCGAAAGCAGCGTGCACAGCACACGCCCGTTTTTATTAGGGCGCGGTACAAATCGTTTCAAGTGAGGTACGCGTTTTGAACTCGCTACCGTAAAAGCCCGGATATAAGACCTATGGGTCTTATCATATAACACCATTCAAAACTGCATTTTATCTTATAAACGGAAAAAAATGGGGCATTTGAGTGTCTTATAAACGGAACCCTCATAAGTTCACCGGAAAAACGGCCCGAGAGGTGAACCAAAACATATTGAGTCATCTGATAACGAGAATTAAGCGGATTGGAGAAAATTTGCGAAAGTCAATCGTGACGGTAAAACGCGTGTGATGAAGATGCGAATGCCTGCAACAACACCCCGCTCGGGCTTAATCCCAAACGTTCATCGTCACAGTCAATAAAACTCGTTTGTGCGAGACCCAGTTCTTGCTTTGCGGGAATAAAAAACACTAAACAAGGGAGGGTCTTATCTCATACCGCCTTGAGGGTGTCTAATAAACGGGAATTCCGAATACAAGATAGTCGCCTAATACAAGACCCTGGGTCTTCTATTACTAGGGGGCCTTCTATCCGGGCTTTTATGGTAATTTTTTTTCTTATTAAGCCTTCTTGATCGCGTTGAAAACTGTCTAAACATCTACAACCGCATCATCTGTTCGAATTTAAGTTTGAAGACATACTCGTCATATGAGGTGTACCACGCCCTGATATGCGCAAGTCGAGTTGCTTGGCAATTCCAAGCGAGTTGCGCAACTCGGCCAGGATGCGCAACCCAGAGTCACGTGCCCTTCCTTCCCGCTGTTTCCACTGTTCCACGCTGTGTCGTGCGCCGCTCTGACCAGGTATTCTTCCCCCACTCCCCCCTGCGACTTGCGCGCGCCCCCACTTTCCTTTTCCCCACCCTCGATTTCCCCCAGTCTTTGTTTGCGAACGTTTTGGTTCTGCCATAATTTGTATGCTCGTAATGAGAGTACGACTCCGTTACACCACTTGGCCTTTTCCATATTTCATCTTCATTTCATTCCTCTTTTTATCTCATCGCCTTTTGCCTCATATTCCCCATTTTCCATTATCCTTTGGTTTCTTCCTTTATTATTATTATATCACCGACCAGGCATGGAATGTTCTAGACACGCTATCTAGCGTAATCCTGCCGTAATCTCTTAAAGCCAATAGCCTCGCGTGGCTATACGCAGGGTGATTCTATTTTCTAGAAGGGTCTATTCCTTTAGATAAGATAAACCTGGTTACCTGATGTACTCTGGAAGTATAAAAGCGCCTTGTACCGATCGATAGTGGAACCTTTCCTCGACACATTCGATCCTGTGACACTTGGTAATCAGAGCTTTTCTCACTCGGCCGCGCTCAGCTAAGCAGCAGCAGCGGGGATCCTGCCTCGAAAAAACCGCCGGGGGCGACCAATTCGACGCCGATTCTGGTAAGCACCAGCTCCGCGATTTTCGAATTACCCCCTCCGTGCGTGTTTTGAACAGGATGGCAACCTTCGACAACGCCGAGGTTACCCAGCAGCTCTTCGCGCGCATCGCAGCCCTTCAGGAGGAAATGCGAGCGGATCGCGAAGCGTGGCGAAACCAGTTCGAGCGAGTAACTCGACTCGCCGGAGCGCAGCACGAGACGACAACGGCGACGACGCAGCAGTCGCAGCAGTTTCTCGAGGCTCCGAAACCGCGCCCACCTGAGCCGTTCGATCCGAGCGATCGAAACTCCGACGCCCGCAGATGGATCGCCGGGATGGAGATCTACTTCGCAGCCGTCGGATGGAGCTCGCCAGTCTGGGACGGTCAACGTGTACGACTCGCGGCGACACTGATGCGAGGGCCGGCACTCGAGTGGATTGGCGGCAACAGTACTTTCATCCACGGTGAAGCCACGTGGCAGCAGTTCCGCGCCGACCTGCTGAAACGCTTCGAACCGATAAATTCGAGTTTCCTTGCCCGGGAAAAAATTCATCGACACCGACAGTTCGGGAGTGTAGCACAGTACACGCAGCAGATGGAGGAATTTTATAACCGCATTCCCGACCTGACCGAAGGGGAAAAAGTACAATCGTACCTCGCCGGGCTGAAGACCGAAGTCAAACGACAAGTCGCAGCGTCAAACTACGCGAGCTACAGTGACGTCGTTTCGGCAGCGGAGCGCTTCGACATGGTCAATGCCGGAACACGACGGCCGCACGTCGGCAGTACGCGACAGGGCGACCGCTCGGCTCACCCCACGTTCGCCGACCCGATGGAAGTCGACAGATTCGAGGGGCGGCCACGTCCGAAAAACACCAACTACACGTGTGATTTTTGCGGGGTGCCGGGCCACCGAATCTTCGACTGCAACAAAATGAAGGCCGCACGCGCAGAGTATCGGGCACGCAACAGTGGCGGAAATCTTTCGGCCAATCAGAAGACAAAAAACGGGAGTCGCCAGTGATTGCGGATCTAGCTGGCGAAAATAAAAAGATCCGAAAGCGGCCGCGGGATTCCGGAAAAATCAACTTCGACGAAGCTGATTCGACGCGAGAAGGAGGAAATGATGGGGGAAAATCTCCACCCCACGACCAGTCTTCGCCAGGGAAAATCGCCGAGGAAAAATACGACTCCGCGAAAAAAGACTCTGCCGAGACAGGGAAACTCCTTGAAGACCCAAGAAATTATAAGAATTCGTTAAA